CGTAACTCATTTTTGAGCATGAGTGAGTACAAGTAAAGATTGTTGTTGTTGTAGCCTACACTTAGTCCGCCCCAATGCCTTCTCTAATCCCTTCCTTCGATTCACGGCTCAAATCCCGATGTTTGCCTTGAATTTTGTTAATTTGTTTGACTGTTAAACTTTTAATTGCACTCATGTATCTAAAAAAGGGAGGCATTAAACGAGTTTTTTTAGTGCAACAAAGAGCTGATGGACAACACTCTAATTACGGCTATTCCCTTCCCCCTGTTCTGAAAACTTATAGTTGCGCTCACCGTATCTAGCATACGTTATTCAGGTTCATAGGGCATTTATCCTCCTTCCAAATTCCAATTCCTATAAGAATATTATGCCAAAACAGAAATTGCATTTTATACTTGGAATGTACACAGTACTCTCTTTAACTGGGGAGCAAGAGTGGCGTAGCGGGGGGGAGCCCCCGCCTCCCGAACCCACCAATGTGTGGTCCGGGCTCAAATCCCGGTGTCGACGCCATTAAGGGTTGTGTTTGTTGTTCGTTTTCCCCTTTGCACCGAGAGGTTTTCTCTGGGTACTCCGATTTTCCGCTGTCCTAAAAAGCCAAATTCCAATTCGACTCGAATGACAGAGGAAGAACCAGTATGGATGTGCCATTTACTTCCTCAAATTATTCATATCTATTTACTTATTTATTTATTTATTTATTTATTTATTTACAGTTTTTCGGCTAGATGCCGGGAAATGTGACTTGAACCGTGGTACATGTACTTATATCCATGATAAATGTCCACCCGACTGGGAACGTTGCCCACCGTACGACTACGACTGCCCACTTGCAACTAACCACTGTTGTTGTCGCAAGAAGCAGCAGCTCAAGTCTGTTCCACAGCTGCCACTTTTGACACCAATGAAGAAGGACGGTAATATACCTTTTTTATGAATTCAAAAGTAGTGTTTAATTGAGTGCTTTTCTATATAGGGCTTTGCAAAGCAAAGAATAGCACTCAATCTAAGCGTCCATGGCATATAAGCTACTTCATTATACCTGAAGAGGTACATAATTTGGCTAATGTCGCGAGGATATTGCTGTCTTAGGTTAATTCTCTGCTCAAGTCATTAATTAGTTCCTTTGCTCACACACAAAATGGACCTGTTAGGTTATGAAGGAGGTATCAAGCAAATTTCATCAACGAGCCCTAACCATGATACTTTTTTAGCGACTTCAACGTTTTCAAGTTTCAATTGGTGTCCATCTTTGCAATCCATAGCAAAAGACGATAGGAAACAGCTTTAGTGCCTGAATAGATTACAAAATGGACTACTATATTTGGATTTCAATTGATACGAACAACGCTTTATCTTTTTAAGAGGATGGCAATGAAAATAGCATCACATAGCCCTTTTCAAGAGTTGCATTATTTTTACAGTCTTCAAATTACAAATCGACCATGAAATGTAGAGAGTAGCCTGCGTAGCAGGCGAAGTGTCTGCTACTCAGGCTAGGTAGAGAGAGAACCATGAAAAAAAAAGTAGGTGGACACGCTACCTCGATATCGTTATTACTGATTTATTTTATTTATTTATTTATTT